GCTTAGGCCTATTTTTACATACTAAATACTTGTAGATTTTCATCTAAAAAGACTATTGTTTGACAAGCTAGTTTCAAAACAAACCATTTGTTTTTTAAACCCTAGTTAAGATATATTTTACTTTCTTAGCTTTAGGCAATGTTCTGTAATAAAATAAAACTAGCTTTCAAGTATTACACTTAGTGTGAGGGTTCTGAACTCAGAAGTCCTATCTTTGAATTTGTTTGCTTGAAATGGCTTTGATTCAGCTGCGAGGAAGCCCAATTGGTAGCCTTTGGGAAGGGAGGAGGGCAGGGGAAACTTTAAATTTGTTTTCCATGCTTAAAAAATAGGGAAACAAGTAGATATTTAAATATGAAAAGTTCGGTACAGGTTTTATGTAGCTGTTTTTATTTTATTTTATTTTTTTTGCAAATTTAAGTGTGTGATCAATTACAGAAAATATAGAAAAGCAAATAAAATAATAAAGGAAACAGCATAAAGTATAACCACAGCAGAATTTGGGAATCTGCTACACTGATTGCCTTGTGGATTATTGATAGATAATGGATATTGTTTTCAAAATATATTGTTTTAAAAGTATATGAGTAAATCTTTTCATATTATTAAATAATCTTCATCTTTTTTTTTAATCCTCATCATTTTATAGCTGTTTAATACCACATGTTCTAGGGGGGGAAAGAGTCCCGAAGTTCAAATGTATCTTTCAGAGACCCCGTTAGTAAGTCTTAAATGGGACAGAGACGATCATGTCTGCATGAGGGAGACCCTCTGCATAAGGGCGTAATGGTGTCCAGAGGATTCACAGACCCATTTCTAGTTAAAGAAAGAAAGGGCACATAATAACATTGTCAGAAAATCACGATTGGAAGCAGATCAGTTCATCCCAGTCGCAGGCAAGACTACAGAAGTGAGAGACCAGGATTAGAATACAGACACTGTGCAGATTAGAAACGTTTACTGAATTGGTTCTGAGGTCCTTTTACCATCCGGGTCTGGGTGTGACACAAGCATGCCACCCTAGTACTCTAATTTATATCAGTGGAATATTCAAGCAAGTTCCTAAGCCCAAGACTGCCCCTCCCTGGACCAGCCAGGACACTCTGAGGGCAGAGCTTTTTGCATTGAAGGTCAGTGGTCACTCGTTGGAGGCAGAGACGATGTGGAGACTGAAATTGGATGTAGGGCTCCACCTGTAAACAGCCCTGCTGTGCTTGGGCTAAGTGTTGGGCTCCCTAACCACAACATTAGTGGTTCAAATACACCAGCTGCTTCACAGGAGACAGATGAGGTTTTCTGCTCCCATAAAGATGTACAGCCTTAGAAGTCTTAGAAACCCTACACAGGGTCACTGTGAGACAGAATCTACTTGGGGGCAGTGAGCTTGTTTTGATTTGGTTTACCAAAACTTGTAGCCTTTTGCAAACCCGGGTTGCTAATAACTGCAAGGCCAGCGACTTGAAACCACCAGCAGCTCCGTGGGCGGAAGATGGGCCTTTCTACTCCTGTAAAGACTTACAGTCTTGACAATGCACAGGGTCAGTTCTACCCCGCCCTGTAGGGTCACTACGAGTGTGCATTGAGTCGATGGCAGTGAGTTTGTACACTATGTCAGTGCCTATTAGCATTCATGCCATCCACACTTTCTGTTTTATTTTCAGACCCCACAAATAGTTCAGTGAGTAAAACAGACCTCGTAGTTACTCTGAGACATTTCCAACAATGTTTTTAAAATATGTATGTGTTTCTATGTGTAAATATATACATATATATAAAATAACAAGTATTGGTGAAGATGTAGAAACATTGGAAATTTCATACATTGCTGATGGAATGCAAAATGGTGCAACTCCTAGGGAGAGCAGTTTGATGATACCACCGTGTGTTAGATATAAAATGGATATATGACTGGCAATCCTTTTCCTGGCAGGTTATTGAAAACAATCAGCGTAGCATTATTCACAAAAGCCAAAAAATGGAGTGGAAATAATTAACAGATCAGTGGAGAAACAAAATGTAATATAGCTTGTGCAACTTTTGTTAATAGTTAGCTATAAACAAAAGGAAATTACATAGTGCAACATGGGTGAACTCTGAAAAGTTTTGCCTAGTAAAATAAGCTAAGCCCCAAAAAACAAATGTATGAATCTACTTATATAAAATATCAGAATAGGCCATTTCATATTAGAAAGTAGATAAGATCAGACTACAAAACATCATGGATGTAATTAATGCCATCAGAATGTGCACTTTGTCCTGTTTACCACAATTTTAAAAGTTGATGAGGCGGGGGATATGAACAAGCAGAAATTTTTTGGACAGCCCCGTACATTTCTGTGACATCTGCTCATTCTGAAAATTGGTACACGAAGAAACTAGAAATCAGGTAAGCATGCTAGTAGGAACTATTTGCGAGAAACCAAATTCCTGATGTTGAAAGCATTGTTCCTGGAAGTGTCCATTTAACCTTGCTAGTAACTGAAATCTGCCAGTGTATTTATTTGATCCCTGTTTTGTTTTCAGTTCTCTTTTCTATTGCGTTTCCATCGTGTCACTCCTTCATTGGCGGGTTATATTTAAATTTGCTTAGTTTCTTGCTGTTTTCGGATGTCGAACTCCTATATAGGAGATCTTTTATTCCTGGTTGCTTATGTTTTGCTCTGCAATGCTCTTTCAGCCGTATCCTGGCGGGAACCAGCTGTCCTCCAGTCTAGCAGGACTGAGTCTGCAGAGTTCTCCCCAGCCGGAAAGCCTGAGACCTGTAAACCTCACCCAGGAGAGGAATGTGTTACCTGCGACTCCCGTGTGGGCTCCCGTACCAAACCTGAATGTAGACCTCAGGAAATTAAATTGTAGTCCAGAGTAGGTATCTTTTTAAATCATTTTTTAAGTCATTTAATTTGCTTTGAGCAAACCATTGTATGATTTTCAGAAGTAGCATATTATTTCCCTGACTAGAATCTTTGTTAAAAAAAAACTTTTCAATTTAATTTGAATAGAAATTTTAACTATAACACTGACGACTATAGGCCATCTTTTCCTGTCCCCAATCCTACTTCCACTTAGTCCTATTCCTCCACCACCAAATAGCAGGATATTTCTTACTGTTGGAGTGAAGGAATTCAGGAATCCAGCCTTAACTCTCATTAATTTTTCCCCCATAAATCCCTTTCCTTCACTTCATCAGTAATAACTTCTGATGTCTGTTAAATAAAGCAGAATCTTTAAAGTTGTTATCCCTTCATCAGTCTTAGCTTAACAGGATACAAACTTCGCTTCTGTAACCTTGCAGGGTTGTTTATTTATCTCTGGACTTTCCTCACCTCTGCACCCCCACCCACACACCACCACCACCCCGAGAATGTGGAGATCAGTTATCTCCAGAGTTGTTTATCTGACCTGGATTTAGATTTGGATTTCCTTTATTGACTGTTCCTTCACCCATGGAGAAGTTTGTTTGGCAGCCTGTGTCTGATAGCGACCAAGCCCTGAGGGACCCTCTGGGCGAGTGAGCTCAGGTGTCACCTGGCAGAACCTCCGAAACCAAGCGCTCTTTATTCGTGCATCCTCTCAGTACCTCTGTAATTCAGAAGACGTTCTCCTACTCCTGGAATCTCTCTTCCCTCAGAACCACAGCATTGTAGGAGAATTCATGTTATTTGCAGTCGGTATTTTTCCTTTAGTTAAGGCTTTTCTTAAAAAGTAAGAGGCTTTCTCATCCAAAATCTTATCTAGAATCGGAAAGAGGCAGTGGGGAGTGGAGAGAGACTGAGGACTCACTTTCTCTTAGCACGCTCTACCCTTCCTTCAGTGCCTGAGCCGGGCCACCATCGCTTCCATGCAGGGGAGGCCACGGGGTGGCCTGTGGGTTGAAAACAGCTAGTTGCCCTTCTGGCTCTACGTGATTGGATGGAGATGAATCTGAATGACGGTCTTGTGGTGTGAGTGGTGAGGCATCTTCCCAATGGATGAAAAGAAATCACACACACACAGACTTCAAAAAGTTTGTGGGAAAATCCCATTATCTAGTTTGATTCCATTTTTCTATGAACTTTCTCAAGCTCCTTGTGCGCGCACGTGTGTGTTGTGTGTGTGTGTGTGTGTGTGTGTAACCCCATTTGTAGGGATTGACGTATATGTGTCTACCCAGGTAAGCTGTTTCTGTGAAAGTCTCCCTCTTTCCTAAATAGCACAGCAAGGCAATTGGGAGTACAGTCTTTCTTCAGAGTTAAATCAACTTAGGTTTGTGTCATGATTATGCTAATAAGTAGGTACGTGATTTGCAAATTACTTCTCAACATCTCAATACTGTCACCTCTGAGTCAGCAAGAAGGATGCATCCTGCATATTAAGATACTTTCTTCAATAGATGTGTATTGCCTGTCTTTGAAGTTAAGTGCCAGGCACTCTTTCTAGGTGCTACAGTAGAATAGTAAACAAAACAAAAATCTCTCATGAAATTTAACCTTCTTTACAGGGAGACATATTGTAAACAGAAAAACCAATAACTATACAAGGGTAAGTTAAAAACAATAAAAGTTGCTACGAGAATTCTAGCTCATGCATGCCTGGGTTTATTCCCAGCTAACTGTGTTAAACCATGTGTCTGTGACCAGTGGATGGCTACAGGCAAGTTCGCTCAGTACAGCCACTGTCTGACTTAAGCTCATTAGGGCGCCTCCACAAGCTAGGTGCAGTCAAACCAGGGACTTGTTGGGCCAGTTCAATTCAAGCAGAGACCTCAGCTCAAAAGGTGACAGTGATTGCCATTGGGAATTCCCAGGGGGTGGTATAAGTAGATACTCTTTTTTGGCCAAAGGACATAAGACAGTGGCTTATTGGGAAGAAGTTTTGAGAAAAAATTGTATTGGTGAGGGAAAAGGTCAGGAAAGTTATAACAAGAAAATTGTTTTCATTACATCAGTGCACCTACCCATTTTCTTAGGGTAGCAAGGGCTTATCTATGAAAATTTCACTGGGAAACCTCAAGCCATATACCCTGCAGCCTTGATTGTGCCTCTTCTGACTAATTTTTATTCCCCAAACTTGATACTGAAAAGGAACATGAGTTGAGTCCCTTAGTGGCATAGTGCATTGGACTGCAATACTCATGGTCAGCAGTTTGAAACCACCAGCCACTCCATGGGAGAAAGACAGAGCTTTCTACTCTTGAAAAGAGTGTGAATCTCAGAAACCCACAGGGGCAGTTCTACCCTGCCCTGTAGGGTCGCCATGAATCGACTTTGACGCGATGGCAATGAGACAAAGAAATTAGAGTGCAGAATTCTCCAGGGAAGGGCTAGAGGGACAGAAACAAGTATTTCTCAAAAGTGTATAGATAGATGTAAGATAACATGGGAAAGCAGTAGCTTCACATTTTTTGTTTTGTTTAATCAAGGTTTCTCCTTTCTTGTAGCATTACTATTTGACTTCCTTATAATATTACCCACTGCCATTGAGTTGATTCAACTTACAGCGACCCTTTAGACAGAGTAGAACTGCACATACAGTGTCTCCAAGGCTGCAAGTCTGTGTAGAACCAGAGCATTACATCTTTCTCCTGACAATCGGCTAGTGTGTTGCAACTGCCGACCTTGTAGTTAGCAGCTGAGTGCTTTAACCACTGCTTCACCAGCTTTCTATATGATAACATGATACTACTATGAAGAAAAAAAATTCCTGTACTTGGGCAACTTTTTAACTGATGAGTAAGGACAGGTGTTCTCCAGGAGTTAACTTTTGATTAGAGATCTGAGTGAAGTAATTGTGAGCAAGGAGTGTTCCAAACTACAGGGACAAACTTTGTGTGTTCAAAGACCAGCAATAAACTTGGATTTAGTAGAACAGAAAATGGCAGAGTGTAGTAGGAAATGAGTTCAGAGGGAGAGGCAAGACCTTAAAGGCCTTGCAAACTAGAGTTTATGTGGGGAGGGGTGAGCCTTTCTAAAAGACTGTTAAAGCAGCCATAGAAAGAATTGATTGTTGGGGAACAAAGAAGCGAATGCAGCACTCTGGGTTGTGTTCCAGCTAATGGTGGGCATGTGGAAAGTGACTGGATTCTGCAAATGTGTTTTGAAGCTAGAGCCAGTGAGTCTTATTATTAGATTGGCTACATGGAGTATTTTAAAAGGTACCCATCCTTATTGTTCTTATGCCTTACTCAGTCTCCTTGGAATAAGATTTTAGTCTTCAGTGTCTACAGAATTTCTTAAAGGTCACCTTTGAATTCTGTATTACTCAATCATTATCTTCCCCTCCTCACCCCTCAAGTGCCCATGATCATATATGTCTCCATTTAATATTAACCACTGTTCATAAACTGAGCCCTAGTGGTATAATAGTTACCGGTTGGGCTGCAAGCTACAAGGTCTGCGGAAACCACTAGCTACCCCATAAGGGAAAGACAGGGCTTGCTACTCCAGTGAAGAGTTACAGCCTGGAAACTCAGGGGCAGTTCTGCCTTGTCTTCTAGGGCCACTAGGAGTTGGCACCAGCACAATGGCATTAATTCCTCTTCGAATTTTATTCCTTTCATGATACTTCTCGTTCTTTGCCTATTCTTTGCCTATTCTTGTATCGGTCCTTTGTGCGCTGACTGTAATCCATAGCTGTGTCAGTCTGGGTAGACTAGAGAAACAAATCCATGGACACATATGTGTATAAGAAAGAGATCTATATATAAGAGCAATTGAACATTGAGAAAACATCCCAGGCCAGTCCAGATCAAGCCCTTAAATGTCCGATATTAGCCCATCTGTCTGATACCAATCTATAAAGTCCTCTTCAGACTCACAAAACACATGCAATGACGCCGAATGTAGAAGGTCACAGGCCAGTGAGTAGAAAATCTTTGGATCCAGTGTCATTGGAAACATCTCATCGCTGGCAGGGGTCTTTACCTCAGCGTGGGTCCATGTGTCTTGTCAGCTGCTGTGTCTCCCAGGGTGTGAGCAGAGAGAGAGAATTGTCTCCCGCCTCCAAGGAGGAAGTATGGGATTTCCCAGAATTCCCAGGAGAAGGCCATGCCCACGCAGAGGCCTCATTGGCTATGATCTGATTGACAAGCTAGATTCCACCCCTACACTCTAAATCCTCAAATTGACAAACGATTCTATATCTACCACAACAGCACAATATAAAACGCTAACTGAGCACTTGCTCCGTGAGAAGAACAGTGCTGACGTGACACAAAAACATAAAAATCTCCATAAATCTCCAATCCCAGAGAGAGAAGACAAGCAAGGTAACAACCAACTAAAGAAACAATATAATTTATAGCACAGAAACGGGCATAGAACTCGGGGAACAGATGAGGGAGTGAATTCTTCTACTGGGAGAGGTTGAGGAGGGGGATTTCAGAAGAAGTGGAAACTTTTAACGAGCCTCATAGGAAGAGTAACTGATGAATAAAGGGCAATGAAGCAGGAACAGCATCATTAAAGACGCAGAGAGAATCCTTTTCCCTCATGTTTTCTACTCCCTTTTATTCATGCCTTACAATAGTTTACCAAACTTACTGGGCCTACCGCCTTCAAGAGAAAAAGCTACTCACCGCACCCCCCATCTCCCTGCGCACACGCAAGCAATAACGTGTGTCGTGTAGGGCACCATCCAGAGTGAAGTGTAGCCACGTACTTTTGCAGCCCCTCCGTCCTTTCAGGGCCCCTGGCTTGGGGACTCGCCCACTTTGGGAAACCCTGCCTTAACATGGTAGTTAAAATTAAGCAATTGGCTTTCTTTCTTTCTTTAACGTGTGTAGTTTAATACCATGAAGATGATGCATCCTTAATTTAGGACATTTCATAGTTGTGACATATGCATCCAGGTTCAATCAGAATTTCCTGGTTTTAGTTCTGTAACTTACCCAGGTGATTCTCATTTGCACCCTTACGTGTTCTTACTCCCCTCCAACTCTACCTACTTGGGTATGATGTTGTTGTGTTTTTCTCATAGCTAATGTTAGTTCATGTTGTTTGTGGGTTTTTTCTTTGCAGTTCATTTCGGTGTACTTTGACAAATATTCCACAGACGCAGGCTTTACTGAATAAAGCTAAACTACCTTTAGGATTGTTGCTTCATCCCTTCAGAGACCTAACGGTAAAGTACCCTCGCTTTAAATCCTTGTTTATGCTGACTTGTGTACCTGTGTGCAAAATACTTAGACTGGATAATTTCTTAGAATTTTTATCTTCTCCCTTCTTTCATTTTGTGCGAGAGATCATCCTGTTTGCCCAGTTCAGTTCAGCAAACATTTTCTGAGCCACTCGCTTTGTGGCGGGCCCGGAACAAGCAGTGGGGTTGCTCTAAGTCCTTCTCTGACAGGGCAAGGAGTACACAGGATAATTGCTGTATGTCACTGCTCAGCGTCTGTGTGGGACTCAGGCAGTCAGCGCTGCTGGGGCAAATACCCCAGTATTTGGGTACAGTAGCGCACATGGTCTACAAAAGACGAGACCAATTGCAGATTGAGGAGTTTGGGGAATTGGGAGAGGCCAGAGGCTAGATGAGCTGTAGGAGTCCCAGGAAAAGGGCTATATGGTTGTTCTCAGTGGCACAAAACCAATGCGCATTTGTAAAATCTGAGAAGCCCTAAATGCCTGGAGTCTGTTGCATTAGAACATTACTCGGTTCTGGTGTGGATGGTGGCCGCTTAGGAGGCGCCGGGTGTGAGAGAGTGGAATGGTCCGGCGGGTTTTCCTGGCTGTAATCTCTGCAGAAGCAGATATTCAAACAGCCAACCTTTGTAAGCCATTAGTGCCACCCAGCGACCTTAAAACGTTGCTTGTTGATGTTTCCCCAGTGTGTTTGGTTTCACAGCTTACTAAATGTTTATGCCTGGTTCTGGTGTTTCATATGAATGCTTTGTATTTAAATGAAGTTTTTCATCAATCGTTTTACCAGAGGCATTTTATTTGTCCGTCATAAAGTTGTTTCCCCTTGCACTTTGCTACTGCACTGGTTTTCACCCCCTCCTGTTGCTACTGAGTTTCTTTTGCCCCTTTCTTCCAACAAATATTCCTTGCTTCGTTGTCATGCTTGAGGGAGCCCTGGTGCCACTGTCCTAAAAGCACTCAACAGCCAAGCAAAGAGACAATGGCTCAAACCTGCCCGGTGTTGGGCGGGACAGCCGAAGAGATGTGCAGGTGGGCTTCCGTGTGGAGTGGCAGCCTGGGTGCTCTGTGGGGCAGCTCTGCTCTGTCCTGCAGGGCAGCGCTTCTCAACCTTCCTTCTGCCGCGACCCTGAAACCCCGTTCCTCAGGTTGTGGGGACCCCCAACCATAACATTATCTTTGTTGCTACTTCATAACTGTCATTTTGCTACTGTTATGAATTGTGCGACCCCTGCGAAAGGGTCCTTCGACACACACACACCCCCCCAAAGGGGTCGCGACCCACAGGTTGAGAACCGCTGATGTAGGGCCTCTAAGTTGGAATCCACTGCACGGCAGTAGATTCAGGTTTCGTTGTTAGATGCTGAGGACACCAAGATGAGTAAGCTTTTTCATTGAACTTACTTTCCTACTAGGACGTGTAGGAAAGAAGAAATGAATAGAAAATCAGGTTAATTATACTATGTGATAAGTAACTTGAATGTTTTCAGCAAATACTGTTTTAACCTTACCTCAAAGCCATGATAATTCATTTTCTATATACACAAGTGACATTTTTCTCCTTTAAACATATTTGCTACATTCTACTAGCTACACTGTGATACAGACTTTTAATTTTTTCACAACTGATGCGTATTGACTTGTGTAATAAAAATATGTGAAAAGAAATTAAACACAAATGTATGTTTATTTTTGATAAGAAAAAAGTCAGAAAGGAGATAGAATAATATGCGATTTCCTAACTTTTGCTTATTTTCCAAATTTTCCACACTGAACCAAGCCTCAAGAGATTTATATGTATATATTTGACTCTTACAACTCTTGTCACAATCCATACATCACTTGCATCAGGCAAATTTGTACATATGTTGCCTTCATTCTTTTCTAGACATTTACCTTCTATTGAGCCCTTGGTATCAGCACCTCTTTCTTCCCACTCCACCTTAATATTTTTTTAAATTTTAAATCAAGACACATTTTGCTTGATTTTGTGGGCACGAGGCCTCCTTTCCCGTCAGGTTGTCACGGCAGTCCAGTGAGCAGTACCTGAGAGTCTCACATCAGCTGTAGTCAGTAAATAAAGAGCACGGTATTTTTATTCTCTAGGGCTAATATTTCTTTCTCACATTTTTTAAAAGTTTCATTGGCACTTAATCCATATATCATTCAATTCAATAGTTCAAGTATCTCAAAAAGAGTTGTACGATCATTACCATTATCAATTTTAGAACACTTTGGTTTTTTGCCCCATAGTTAAATCACTTTTAAAATGAGTTGTGTAATCACCATCAGTTCTAGTGCTCCCTCCTCCCTCCCACATATATTGTTTCCACCCCCTGCCCCCTCACCCTCCCTGTCACCCCATCCTCCAACCCCACTCCCCTATAAACCTCTGCTTCAGTTCTTATCTCTGTGCAGCTACGCTTTATGTGCTTCACAAACGGAAAAACCCAACAGAAACAATAAAAAATAAAGTGGTAAGGATAAAATAATACAAAGATGAAAATACAAATAGAAAGAAAAGACCACCATGAATATTTAAAGGGCCAGGGAAGAAATTTTTGTCATGGAACAAGCAAGAATACTTGAACCTAGAAGAATTTCAGGTTGGATCAAAAGGGAGTTCAACTGACCAAGCATCAAATTTGGTCCATTATGCTCAGGTTTACAATGATCCCTTTCAGATATGGAGACCCTGGTCTATGGCTAGTGGGATCTGCCTCCACGTATTTCTTGAGGCTATCAAATGAGCTTTAACTTACCATTTTTTGTTGGACAACCAAGCTTTTCTTGTGAACGAGTAACGTTTCTTGTCTTTGATGCAAGGTTGTTTCAGGGATCGAGTTTAGCCTGTGACAAGAGTGGGAAAAGCTATGATAGATGCTTTTGTGCCTAGCTGGGTGTTGTGAAAATGCTTCCGTTTTGAACCATCCCAAAGCAGAGTTCTGGCATCTGTTCTGCACGTGGAGCAAAGCGGCAAGTGTCGTGTTTTGCCCTGGGTGGATGCTCTCCTCTTGCTGCAACATCTTACTTTTATCTCCTAGCAATTACCAGTGATAACGTCCAATACCATCGTGCGGTGCCGATCTTGTCGAACATACATCAACCCTTTTGTATCCTTCATTGATCAACGTAGATGGAAATGCAATTTGTGCTATAGAGTGAATGATGGTGAGTTTCAGATTCTTTGCATAAGTGTATTTTAATTATTATTTTTAAACATTTTCTGACATTTGTTATTACCTGATTTTTCTCCATGTTAATTAAAAAAATTTTTTTTCATGCCATTTGTTAATGGAAGGAATATAAGGGGGCTTCAAAAAATTCAGTGTAAAAGTAGAATGAAAAGATCATAGAATTTTTCCATGAACTTTTTGAAACTCCCTTGTGTAGTTTAAGGGGTCTTAGTTGGCTATAGGACACACATTGAGCTGCTAACCCCAAGATCAGCAGTTCAAACCCACCAGCCGCTCTGAGGGAGAAAGGTGAGGCTGTCTGACCCTGGAAAGATTTACAGTTTTGGAAGCCCTAAGTAGGGTCATATGAGTTGGATTCTCCTCAGTGGCAAGGACACTTCATTTTGGCTGACGAAGGAGAGTGACAGGGATAGCAAATTACAAAACTTTATTTAAAAAAAACAGTAAAGGTCATGAGGAAGTCATGCAGATATATGATGATTGCCCCTGAGCAGTTGGCTTGTCATCTTTGTCATGTGATTGGTTCATTGCACTCTGGTCGAGCTCTGTACACACGTGTGTTTCTGTGTATGTGCACATGGGTCTGTCCCTCTATTGCCTCCTGTACCCATTTCTTAGTTCCCTTCATTGTAATTATTTTCTAATTTGTGTTTCTTTGATGTGTTTCTTGCCATGTGGTATGTTAAATTGGACACAGGCATAAGAAACAATATCACCTGCATTCTGATTTCAGAAAATAAATTTTTTATCCTTCTGGTGTATATTTTAAACAGGGCTTAATAGATTAGTTTTTTTATCATTGTGTTTACAAGACTTTTCATAAACCTCATAGAAATTGCACTGTGAAGGGGTGTTTTTATTTGTAGGTCGTGTATGTGTGTTATTACAAATTATGTTATTAAATTTTTACTGAATTTCTATTTTCATCTAGTACCCGAAGAATTTATGTATAACCCCCTTACTCGATCATATGGTGAACCTCATAAACGACCAGAAGTTCAGAATTCAACGGTGGAGTTCATTGCTTCTTCAGATTACATGGTAACTATTCAGTACTAAAAATCAGTCATGAGTACTAAATTCATTACAGGTTGTCCCCAATTTATGACCGGGCTCTATTCAGTGATTCAGTCTTGAGCTGCTTCTAATGTAGCCAACTACTCTCTGCCCACCCCTCACCCTCAATTATCATTGCCTTTTATTATCAGTATCTTTATATAAAATTCATAATTTTATAAAATTGTATATCATTGTTAGGTGCCATCGAGTCAGTTCCGATTCATAGTGACCTTGTGCCATCCTCACACTGTGGTTTCATACGTGCATACATTAAAGAATAATTAAAGCATCAAACAAAGAACAGTGGGACAGCAGTTGCATTTTGTCCATGGTGGTAATAACTCCACATGTAGAAGTTCTGGATCGTCCCTCCCTGGGATGAAATAGAATTACTAGTTAGAAAATTAAGTGAGAATTATCTGTATCATCCTTTTTTTTTCCACTCATATATTTCACAGTAATCTCACTGCCTCCAAATCTTCCTATCTTTTAGCAAAACAGTCAGTGTTTGGGTACATTTATTTTTAAGCACCCAAACTGCCTGATTTAGTTTAGAAAAAAGCTTTAGCTGATCCACTAATAACAGTTCAACAGTTAGCGTATACACTCGTGTTTAAGCTGAGTTTTTCAGCACATTCTTATGCAGTTTTTGAGGTAAAATTAGGTGCCTCAGCTGATATTTGGGTCGGCTTATACTCAAGTATATACAGTAAATAACAGTCTAGAGGTAAACATCTGGGAATGATAACATCAGCCAATTACAGACTGCAACACTGGATGTAGTACCACAGTACTAACAATAAAAACCCAAACTCACCACCGTTGACTTGACTCTGATTCATAAGGACGCTATAGCAAAGGGTAGAGCTGCCCCTATGGGTTCCTGAGACCGTTGCTCTTTACAGGAGTAGAAAGCTTCATCTTTCCCCGTGGAGCTGCTGCTGCTGGTTTCAAATTGTTATCCTTGGGATTAGCAGACCAACATGGAGTCCAAGACACCACCAGCTCTCCTCATTACTGACGATAAGAGATTTCCCCCCCTTCCCCCCAAAAATCCCACGGGTAATCATAAATACATTTCATGATAACTGGAGTACATCATTAGGTGGGGACTACTTATATAGGTTAGGTTGTAATTTGCTGTCAAATGACATTTTGTGCAGATTTTGAGGTTGTCTGAAAGTATAATTTTTTTTTTAAGATAAATAAAAGTTGCAATGTTATAGTTATCAAATAGAAATTATTTCTTAAGATTATTTAATCTTCTAGAACAGGGGTTAGCAAACTTTTGAGACAGAAGAACCAGTCCTGTCCCTCACAATAATTTAATATGATTTGAGAGCCACCAGTATAATTTGACCATAAATAAATAAATCACGGTTATCTGAATAAGATCCTTTAAGATTTTTCAAGTTTAGTTCAGAGCCACATGTATGTACTGAAAAGGCAGCCTCTGGCTTGAGAGCCACAATTGCCGACCCCGGTGCTAGAAGAATGCAGAATAAAAAATGTTAGCGATACTTGATGGTTGGCACTAATACCTAAAATTCTTGCCATGCTTTAATTCTTACAGTGAATATAAAGATTTTTAACTATTTAACATGGAAGGTTTTCAAAACACCGTATTTCATATTTCTGCTTAAAACCTCAGTGTGCACGCTTGTAATGATACCACCACCTTAGTTCATCAAGTACACAGTAAGACTCACTTTCTAAATCGGTCATCAGATTTTACCTGCTCTTTGTGCTGAATCTAACAACTTTCTTTTTAAAGAATTCTTTATCTAAATTCTCATCTGTGTCATATCTGCTCGGTCTTATTTATAATAATTGCATCTCTCCTGTATCCTCACTTATAGTCTTTGTTGTTTGTAAATAGTTCCAATGCTGCTTGTTGACTAAAATAAACCGGAGCTTCTATGTGTGAGATGTGTGGGATTCCTGGTACTTTCTCATTTCTTTCTTTATGTGTTCCCAACTCTGGTTCAGCGCTTCATCTGGTTCGGTGTCTTCATCTAAATTAAATCTAAGTAATCTAAATGGAAGTGGTATATGACTCCATCCCAAACCCCATCAGCCCTGCCATATAGTTAAGAATATAAAAAGGCTTTATATATTCTTTATATTAACTTATAACAGAAATTTGAGCATATCTCAAAGAAGAGAAAATAATATAATCAGCCCTCTTGTACCCATCACTAAGCTTCAACAGTTTACCAACATGTTATTCAATAAGTTGTATGTATTCCATAGGCTACTGTAGTCTCTATGTACCCTGGAGTTTATGAAATGCTAATCCTTGACCTTAATAGAGGTATGCATTCTAACAGATAAGAATTTTTTACAAGCATTCAAACAGTACCATCACAGCTAACAAAACTAACATGAATTCTTTTTCTTTTTTAATTATATACTATTATTGGGGCTCTTACATCTCTTATCACAATCCATACACTCATCCATTGTGTTAAGTACATTCGTACATGTGCTGCCATCATCGTTTTCAAAGCATTTTCTTTCTACTTGAGCCATTTATATCAGCTCCTCATTTCCCCCCTCCCCGCACCTACCCTTCCTTCATGAAACTTTGATAAGCTATAGATTATTATTTTCATATCTTACATCATCCTCTGTTGCCTTTCACCCACTTTTCTGTTCGTCCCCCTGAGAGGGCATTATATGTCAATCCTTGTGATCGATTCCCCCTTTCTCCTCTCACCTTCCCCTTATCCTCCTGGTATTCTATTCTCATTGTTGGCCCTGAGGGGTTTATGTATCCTGGATTCCCTTTGTTGCAGGCTCTTTTCTGTAGCAGTGTTCATGTTCTGCCCTTATCTGATTTGTAAGTTAGAATTGTCATGATATTGGGGTGAAGGAAGCATTAAAGAACTAGAGGAAAGTTGCATGTTTCGTCGGTGCTATACTGCACCCTGACTGGCACTTCTCCTTGTGACCCTTCTGTGAGGGGATGTCCAATTGTCTACAGATAGGCTTTGGATCTCCACTCCATGACCCTCTCCATCTTCTGTTCTGGGTTTTAGATGCCTTATAACTGATCCCATTGACACCTCATGATCATTCAGGCTGGTTTGCTTCTTCCATGTGGGCTTTGTTGCTTCTGAGCTAGATGGCCACTTGTTTAACCTTCAAGCCTTTAAGATCCCAGATGCTATATCTTTTGATAGCCTGGCACCATCAGCTTTCTTCACCACATTTGCTTATGCACCCACTTTGTCTTCAGCGATCATGTCAGGAAGGTGAGCACCACAGAATGCTGTATTGTTAGAATAAATTGTTCTTGTGTTGAGGGAGTACTTGAGTTGAGACCCAATGTCCATCTGCAAACTTAATTCTTAACATATAGATATAAGTACATAGTTCTATTCCCTTCTCGTTATATATAAATATATTTACATGTGTACGTGCTGTATTTAGACCTCTATCAATGTCCTTTGCCTCCTGGTTCTTTCCTCTATTTCCTTTCACTTCCCTCTTGTCCCACCATCATGTTCAGCCTTCATTTGGGTTTAAACATTCCTCGCTGCTACATTGCCCTTGATTAAGCCCCACTAGGCATTCTACACCCTTCTTTCCATTGATTTTAGTTCACTTGTTGTTCCCTTATCCCTGGGTTGGTTCCCTTCCCCTCCCCCCCTTCCTTTCTCCCACCTGCCCTTTTCCTGTATTCTCCCGGAACCATTGGTCCCATTCTTATCGTCTCCAAATTATTTATCCCGCCTATCTTATCTAGATAGACACGCGAAGACATTAATAAGCGCAAAAAGCAGGCAAAGCCAAACAAAACAACAAAGGCAGTCAAAACAATAACAACAGCAAAAAAACAAAAACAAAATAACAACAAAAAGAAAACCACTGACAAAAATGGAAAGCTCTATAAAAAGTTCAAGGTCTGTTTGTTGGCTTTTATGAGTGTTTTCCAGTTGAGTCTGAGGGGATGTCACACTCTGTCTCCAAAGTCTATTTTTGGTATTCCTCAGGGACTTAATCACTTTGCTCCCCTTGCTGCTCTGTTGCATGCCCTCAGTGTTTCGCCCCAATGTGACGGGATCAGATTGGTCACAGTTCCCACACTGTTTCTGCAGTGTTATCTCCTGTAGAACTATAGTTCAGTAAAGGATGTTGTGTCTCGTGCTGGGGCAAGCCCTATGGTCCTCTCTGTGCATTGTCTGCCCAGCTCAGGAATATCATCCTTGGGGCTTGGTGGGCCAGGATAACATTAATTCTTAATGTCCCTTATCTCTAGTTCTGGTCACCCTAGTCATTTCAGAATTGTTTTTCTCTAGTCACTTGAACCGGGATTCACTCAGTGCCCACAGTAGTGTATTTGCTATGTCTCTTGAAAGTTTTGTCTTGTAAGCTATAGCCCTTATACCTTTCTTTGCATTTGAAATATCATCATCAGACTGAAATGACTTTCTCTACACTTAGCCCTCCGAATTCACCCACTACCAGGTGACAAGGCAGCTAGTACTTATTGCAAATTGTCAAGTTTAGGGGTGTCTTTTTGTTTGTTTTGATCATTTTCAGGTAAGGAATGTAGAGTTTAGTATTAAAACATATACATGCCCAAAGCCCTTAGCCAACTCTTTACCAGGAATCTATTTTGGTCAAATCTGCTTAGCCAGCCCTTGGGCTGTGCTGACTTACATATGTACACTATGTGCCTTATCCCCGACAAACAGATTTACAAGGGGGAAAAAGTGACAGAAAGGGATGTCCTTCTCAATAGCACATGAGACCTTATAGGACAACTACACACTTTGTGCATTTATATTTTTGTGTAATATGCTTGTTAAATATAAAGAGTACTGCTATAAAAAGACCAACTGATCACCAACTAAATAAGCTGCGTTCCTCTGATTCCTTTCAGCTTCGTCCTCCCCAGCCTGCGGTGTACTTGTTTGTTTTAGATGTGTCTCATAATGCAGTGGAAGCTGGATATTTGGCCATTTTGTGCCAATCGCTGTTAGAAAATCTCGACAAGTAAGCATCTTCCTTTACTCAATGTGTGTGTGTATAAATGTAAACTCAGAAGATTTAGTTTTCATTACATTTGATTATGTTTATCTGTTCATTAAAAGTACTTCCTGTCAACCCTATAATACTTGGATTATTTCATGACTTAGGACTGAATGTGTGAATGATAGCATTTTAATACGTAGTAAAGAACTCAGATTTTATGTAACTGTTACTACAGCCTAGTTGCCTTGGAGCAGGCCCAGGAAGCTTGACTTGGCTTGGGTCACCTAAGCATCAGAATCTGATGCAAAACCTCGCTCTTGTTTGAGCAAGGAAGCACTTCATATTGCCAGTTTTAATGGTGCTGAAAGGATTAGACAAAGGAAAAGGGGAATTGGTTTTTGCTCTGAATATTTCAGGAAGCCAGCAATGGAGCTTTTCATTTGGCACAATAGTATTGAACTATATTGTGAACGTGGGAACAGAATAGAGGATGGGCAGATGGTTTGCTTATACCTAACCCTGATACCTACCTTTGCGTTTACTGATGTTAGTCATAGAGGAACACTTCAACTAGCTTTGAAAATGCAGCCTCCATTGTGGTAATGTGGTAACAATTCTTCTCAAAATGATTGAACTATTGAATTGTAGGATATGTGGGTTATGTGCCAATAAAACTGTAAAAAAAGCAAATGCAGCCTGCAGATCTGGAAAACATTGTTGCTTGTACACTTATTTTTCTGTTTACTCTGACCCTCACAAGAGGTTTGGCACACCACTGCATGGTTCTTGACATGCATAGAAGTGTCAGAAATACCCTAGGTGGTTCTGGTGGGCTCTCGCCAGCTCCCGGTGGAGTTTGCGAGTCCTTGCTCTTCTGAATGCTAGTTCTAGTCTCAGTACGGTCAACGTAGCACTCACTGATTTTGACCTGCAAATAAAAGTGGTAGCATATACAAAACATCTAGAGAGATGGAAAGATTTGGTTTTTAGAGTCTGTTAGTAGCTAACAGTTTTCATGTTTTTCCCCCTTGATCCAACGGTTTGCCCTTATTTTCGTCCCAGATATTTCAGGAATAGCTGTAGTCGTCAGTGACTGTGAATACCAGTCAGCAGAGGAATGGCTCCTGAGATTGTGAAGCGTTAGCTTGCTAGGAAAGTATGAGTTGAGCAAATGTTTGCAAGTTCAATAGATGACACAAAACAAACAGACAAAAATCCAGAATGGAAAATCATAGTTTAGAAATGTAGCCACCACCACCCACCCCCAAAAAAAAGGCAGTTTGGGGAAATTTTTAAATGAATGTGATAGTTATTGAGTTGATATATGTTCTGTAATATGTATTTTCACCACAATAATAAAGAAATGTGATAGGATAGCAACAATATAGGAGCATGTTTAGGGGAAGGGCTCTGGAAAAATGTTTCAGAAATTGTTTAGCGCTGGAGCAGCTCTAGCATATCTCTGTCTGGGGCAGGTGTCTCCACTGGAATGGGTAACAGACAGCCCTTATTGAACTTAGTTTCTCAAACAATGTAAGCTGATTTAAAAAAAACCTTACAGATCTTAACCAGTATTGGTAAGCTGAACAACCACATGACTTGTTTCTGTGTGTTCTCTGAAACACTTTCTGACCTAACTTGGGAGCTAACAGAACAAGCTGAGTTATCATGCAGAATAGTAATCATGCCTGTTGTTTGATTACATGGGTTTTTTGTTGTTGTTGTTGTTGTTGTTTTGGGGGGGCATCCTTATTAATATTTAAAATCATTTTAAAAGCATCACTAAAAAATAAATTCACTTAACATAGTTGGTGGTCTTGAGAAATATACTCATGCAAAGTATCTTTCATATTAGTAAGAAAACTTTGATAGGTAGTAAAATGATGATTTTTAAAAGACTGATCATTGATCAAACATTTTGATATCTTTAAATATGTTTTTTACTTAAAATTGTAGGCCTTGAAATCTGATGTGCATTATACTCAGTCTTTTCTCATGCTGCCCTTTAGGCAGTAAGACAGTATACTAGCCTAATGTGGTCAGTAAAAGTGTGAGTAGCTTTTCACTTTAAGAAGTGTGCCTCTTCGAAGAACAAAAATTCATATCATTGTGTGCTCATCTCCCTGATACAATCACTGAAGACAAATGGGTGCATAAGCAAATGTGGCGAAGAAAGCTGATGGTGTCTGGCTATCAAAAGATATAGTGTCTGGGGTCTTAAAGGCTTGAAGGTAAGCAAGCGGCCATCTAGCTCAGAAGCAACAAACCCCACATGGAAGAAGCACACCAGCCTGTGCGATCACAAGGTGTCGAAGGGATCAGGTATCACGCATCAAAGAACAAAAAAGCATATCATAGTGAATGAGTTGGGAGTGCGGAGTGGAGAACCAAAGCCCATTTGTAGTCCACTGGACATCCCCTTACAGAAGGATCTTGGGGAGGAGACTAGCCAGTCAGGGTGCGATGTAGCAATGATGAAACATACAACTTTCCTCTAGTTCCTAAATGCTTCCTCCTCCCCCCACCCACTATCATGATCCCAATTCTACCTTACATATCTGGCTAGACCAGAGATGTACACTGGTACAGATAGGAACTGGAAACACAGGGAATCCAGGGTTGATGATCCCTTCACGACCAGTGGTGTGAGTGGTGATACTGGGAGGGTAGAGGGAGGGTGGATTTGAAATGGGAAACGGATTACAAGGATCTACATTGTGACCTTCTCCCTGGGGGATGGATAGCAGAAAAGTGGGTGAAGGGAGACATCGGACAGACATATGACAAAATAATAGTTTATAAATTATCAAGAGTTCATGGGGGGGGGGGATATGAGGAGCTGTGCCAGGGGCTTAGGTGGAGAGCAGATGTTTTGAGAATGATGAGGGCAATGAATATACAAATGCGCTTTACACAATTGATGTATGTATGAATTGTGATAAGAGTTGTATGAGCCCCTAATAAAATGATTTTTAAAAAAAAGAGTACTTTGGGAAAGATAGCAGGGGTTCTCTAGTTATTAACCATCTCCTTTTCAGTTTTGACCTGTTCTTACTTGAATAATATTGACACGATTCCATTTTCTGAAGCTATGAATGGATTTTATACATGCAAGTGGTTTCTTCTGAAAATGGAATACTTGATCCTTGCTCTTCCCTTGTGTATACTGGTTTAAACCAGACTCAGACACACTGCCATCGAATCGATTCCAAATTGTAGCAACCCTGTGGGACTGAGTAGGGGTGATTTTTTTCTGACTCCTTTAAAAAAACATTTAAACTTAGTTTAAGGAACCGTATTGGCACAGTGGGAACGTATTTGACCACTGCCCTAGAGACCAGCAGTTGGAAACCACCAGCAGCAGCTTTGCAGGTGGAAGTGCTCTAGTGAACCACTCCTGTCCATTACAATACGTCGAAAACCTTATGAGACAATTCTACCCTGAAGGGTCCCTCGAGTTGGTTTTGACTAGGCCGCATACAGCAGCCACAGCCACAAGTTCTGTGTGCCTTTCTTTTGCTCTCTAAAGGATGCTGTTGAGCGCTTGGAGTTTAGAATCACCGTCTTTGTCTTTAGGCTTCCTGGAGACTCAAGAACAAGAATAGGATTCATGACTTTTGATAGCACTATTCACTTCTACAACTTACAAGATGGACTATCACAGCCTCAGATGTTAATAGTGTCTGATATCGAAGGTAAGAAGTCAGCACAATGATCCTTTTTGGAATTGGGGCTGCTTTATTTACAGCACTAACATGTGTAAGGGTCATTTGTTTTACGAACACTGGTGTTTGTCAAAAAAGAAATTGGATCCCTGTAAAATAATTGACGGTTAAGTTTTTTAAATCTGTGTGCATACCTACACATATGTGCGCACACCATATAT